TTTTTTCTGTAATATAGATTATAGTACTAAATAATTTTGCCAACCTTAAAGTCAAATCAAAGTAAAATTACCAGGTGATTTTAACTTTTCCACAAGTGACTTGTCGCTATTTTTGTTTCCTTTTCCTCATGATAAATGCATCATAGGGTGGTGGCTTCCAAAAATTTAGTAGTGAGTAGTAGTAACCAAACATCAATTAGGAGGAAAATTTGCAAATAAAAAAGAATGAAAAAGGTTTGAGGGATATGAAGGGGGAAAATGACAGAAAATATCATTTTTGGTCAAACATGGTTGGGGCTTATTTTGCATAATGCAACTTTCGATGTCAAAATGAAATACTTCATCTGACCATTTAACATGACATTACTACTTTTCGACAAATCTTTTACAAGTATCTTATAATCATATTTAATTACTATCAAATATTAGTATAATTATAAAGTAGTACATTTTATGTAATTATAAATCAGTAAATTTTTTTATAAGCAATTTGAAGAACTGATGCCCCAGTTCACATTAAAAAATTGGATGAATTTTACCTTGTATTCCATTCCATACCCTCATTTTTTTGGGACGAATGATTAACGACACTAGAAGAAATTTCAAAGGATGTAGGGGTGAGCATAGTTTGGGCAAACCCGAAATCCAAACCGAAATCCGATTTTTTTTTGGATTTTTGGTTTGGAGTTTTGGATTACGGATTGGATTTTGGATTTGATTTATAAAATTTTTGGATTTCGGATTGGATATTGGATATGGTACTCAAATTTTCGAATATCTGAAAATCCGAAATTCTTATGCTTTATATTTAGTCCATTATCCATATGTCAATAGTAATAAGTTCAATACCCTACCCATTAGGTATTATATCTCATATATTCAATATTAATTACTAAGTTACTATAAGAATACTTTCTATTTAGACATGGTTTACTATTTCTATGTCTTATCGGCCGTATTAATGTTTATAGAAAATATATTTTTGATAATAATTTTATTACTTGAATGATTCATTTGGATAATTGCAGTGAGAACGAGGAACTTTTCAGGCAATTTAACATGAGTACTCATTTGGATATTCATTTTTGTAAAAATAAGAAACTTCTCAACTTATAAGCTCAAAATCGAAAATCCAAAATATCCAAACCGATTAATCCAAAACTGAACTTAGAAAATCCGATCCAATCCAAAGTTATTTGGATTGGATTTGGATTGTTATTTCTTCAATCCGAAAATCGAAAATCCAAACTGAAATTTTCATATACAATCTGAACTGCCTGAACGTCCACCCTAAAAGGATGTGTTGCTTAAAAAGAAAAAGAATCCGCTGGACGTGTTTACAAAAGTGAAATTGGAACTTGTAGTGCGTAAAGTCTAAAATCATGGAGAGAAAGATTCAACTTTTACATCTCTTGCCCTCAAAACAATAAACCAATGACAATTTTGAATCAAGACATTGGTAGGATTTAGGAGAAATTTTAACTCAAATTTAATGGTTTACCTATACACTAATGTCTGGCACGAATCAAAATACAAATGGATTCTTAGGCTACACAGTATTTTCCTTGATTGTCAAAAACAGATATCATTTCATTTTAAACCTTGTTAGCAAATTCAACTTACAGAGTTCAACTACCTACATCACAATCTAATAACTTCCACAAATGCAATACCTAAAAATGCTGAAAACAGAAAACACTTCTCATGGCTTTCACTAATTTGAGTAATTGAATTCTATGTATGACATATCAATTTGTCAGTTAATTATCATTTATTAAAACTTTTCTTATTCAGATCCAATACAAAAGATTATATATGCTCCATAAATATTTAACAATAATCGTATGAAATCAAACTAAGTCACTCAATTTAGGATGGAGGAAGTTGTAGAATACCATGCATAATGGACTTCTCTCAAGGAATTGAAAGCCGAATGAGTATTTCAGATTTAAGCGCTTTCAAGAGAAATCCTGATCCAAAAGAAAATTAGGATTTCAGGTTTTTTTTTTTTTTTTGGTAAGCAACATGAATTTTGGTAAAGTTACATTACCAGTCTACCACTTTGTTAACTCACTTAAAGTAGGACATGAGCATGCACATACTTAAAGTTACATTACCAGTCTATTGAGAGAATGAAAAACATTTTCCAAAACTCCTCAACCTTCCCCACCCTATTCCCCATCCCCATCAACCCCCCACCAACCCATCCCACCCCTACCTAAATATAAATATTATTAATAATATTTTCAAAAGTATTTTTTCATGTTATAGAAAGAGTACTTTCTTTTCCAACCAAAAAAAAATAATTTCTTTTTAGTTATGGAACACAAATTTCAACGTTATTTTTGCGTAAAAATGTAAAGCAACACATTATTTCCTTTGGGTTTGTGTGCATTTTTAGAAACTCGGGGGAAGGGAAGGGGGTGAGGAGAGTAGCATAAAAAAATATTTTCTACTCTCTAACCAAACATTAGAAAATATTTTCCGGAAAAAGTTTTCCACTCACCAACCAAGAGAAAATAAATGATAAAACCACTCATTTTCCTTCGTACCAAACACACCCATATTGTCCAACCCTTCACCCGAAATCAACTTTTTATTATAGTTTGATTCGAAAAGAACGACTGCTTTCCCAAAAATAAAAAGACCAAAAAATGGAAAGATCGTCTAATATCTTAGTTTGACTTTATGTGGTAATAAAGAGTAGCATATAAAAGTAAATTTGTAGCCTGTGGGGAATAGTGTTGGCCCCTAAAATAACTTCTTTTTTTGGCTTTGTGAAATAACATAAATAAAAAGTAGTACTACTTAAAAGTAGCATAATACACTGGACTGTTAGAAAAGTAAATATTGCTTTGAGTTCAACTAAAACTGAAAGGTGGATATTCACTTTGGCAGGGAGGGAATACTATAGTTTATATTATTTGTTTGTTATGATACCCTTCAGCTATTATTTTAACAAATTCCTAATAAACTCAAGAAGGAGAGCCTTGACGTAGCTGGTAAAGTTGCTGCCATGCCCCTTGCAGAAATGCAGGGTAAGACTGCGTACAATAGACTCTTGTGGACTGGCCCTTCCCCATACCCCGGTGATTTAGTGCACCGGGCTGCCCTTTATTCCTAATAAACTCAAGTATATTATTGACTTCAAGCTCAGTCAATTTTTGGACAGAGGGAGTATATTGCAGATAGGATGTCCTAATTAAGTCCACCACTTACAGTTAAAGTAGCGAAGAATTGTTGTTTGAAAGTTTGAGGGCACTTTCTTTTAATTGACCTCACTTCCGCGCTCAAAACCTGAGAGCCGTTCAACAAGGAAGTTCTCTTTTATCATAATCACATAATGAGAAACAAAGGGATGGCAAAAACACAGCCATAGTGACTATTTGATTTGAGACACCCTTCTATCATAAGGCAAAAAGAGCAATGACAGGATATTTATATCGAGGATAACATGATTTGCAGCATCTAATTATCTACTCCAAAACCACAAAAATTTTAAGGGCTCACCAAATATATGAGAATGTGCCATTCTTGTAGGTTCCTAAATAACACAACCTTTAAATTGAGCAGTTTCCCATGAACATCCTGAAATACTACAGAAAACTTCATTGAAGTTTCAATTGTTGCCTCGGCGAACAAGGTTCCAAGCCCCCAACTAGTTTGCAATGAAAGAGTAGTTATTTGATGAACAAGGTCTCCAACTAGGCTACGTACAATAGACCCTAGTGGTCCGGCTCTTCCCGGGCCCCGCGCATAGCGGGAGCTTAGTGCACCGGGCTGCCCTTTAAGGTCTCAAAGTAGGAACATACAGTATCATGCAGAAAGAAAAAAGCAGAACAAGGTGGGATTTCTAGGAAAGTTTCAGTATTCACCTCTACCCAACCAAATGCCCCCAAAGAATATGACCACAAAATGCTCCCTAAGAATATGATGATAAGGTCTTTAGGGCAGGAGAACGGCTAATAGTTTTCCATTAACAAAACAAATCTAGCTTACCTCGTCAACAACAGGCTTCACTCGGAAGTCCCACGTCTGAGGAAGAAGTTGGCTGCCCCATGAATCAAATATCTGGTACAACAATTATCATTTGTAGCATGGTACAACATTAGCGAAAAAGTATAATACACTACTTAAAATTATAACTGTAAAGCACTTATAAAGTAACACAATTATTAGGACCAATAAAGATCTGGATACCCCTTGGTATAAACTGAATCTGGATTCAGGCCCATCTTTTTCAATCAAAATAGACACAGAATTAAGAAGCTCGATCACACTAAGGGGGATTTGATCTGTGATAACAAAATGATCTCCCAGTTCGAAGAATTCCTGATTTGTCTATGTATTCAGCATTAAGCCCAGACCCCACTTGTGGGATTATACTGGGATGTTGTTGTTGTTTGTAATAACTGTAAGCAAGAGAAGAATGGAGATAATATCCCCCCCCCCCCCCCCCCCAAAAAAAAAAAAAAACAAGAATGCAAAACCCTGCCAAGAAAGAAAGAAAAGAAAAGAGCAAGAGATTTAGCATCCATTGCATATCCATCAGAGTGTTTCTCGTTGATTGATAGGAAGCAGAACATACTGTACCTTCCTCAAATGCCAATGCACATGAAACATACGCTTGAAATGCCCCAATAATTAAAAGCCAAATGCAAATCCCATTCAGGAATATATGTATATAGAAACTTCCATATAAGTTGTGCTACATAAAGTCCCATAAACCCCCACTGTTTCTTCCCCTTTTCTCCTTGAAGGTGGACTTAACCAAAAAAGAAGGCGGACTTAGAGCCCGTTTGGATTGGCTTAAAAAAAGTAACTTTTTAGCAGAAATAGTTTTTAAGCCAAAAAGCAATAAGCTGGGCAACCCCAACCAAACACTGAAAAAAGCTAGAGCTTAAACTACTTTGGCTAGCTTAAAAGTCAATCCAAACACCCTCTTAACCCCAATCAAATGAAGTGGGAAACACCGAAACAGAGACTAAAAAAAACATAAATAGGCAAAATAAAATTTCGCAGAAAATAATTGTTAGCAAGCCAGCAAAGCAATACATGTAATGTCACTTAGGTATCATTCTCGTTGGAAAATACCATGACTGACAAGGTTCTAGTTCACTTTAATTTTGGAAAATGGTGCAACACAAATGCCAAGGTCATGCTATCAGTTGAAACTATTCTCTTATTGCACACAGAAAAAATTTGAACAAATACAAGAATAGAAGAGGCACTGCAGTGGTAGTGCCTTTTGATCATAATTAGAAGACCGTGACAGTTGCTAATTTCTTCGACAGCAGTCCTCATAGAGGATCGGATTTGCAGTGGCGAAGACAATGAAATAGAGCGAGGTCAGACACCATGTTTAACATCACCAAAATGAGATGCCAGAAAAACCCTTCGAGCAGGTACAGACCAAAATTTGCCGAAGCTGAAAGGCCACCGAGACGAAGTGCTTCTGGGGCAATTATCGCTGACTTTATCATACTGTATTGTGTAATTTGAGCTGCTTATGTTCCTGGAGTAGCAGCATGAATCGTCTTTATATTTGTAGACTTGTTGGGTACTCCCAAGCCCACTAACCACCAACCGGCCCTTTACAAGCATGTAGCCCTGTGCATTTTGCATATTTTCCGTGAAGCTGGAAAAGGATCCAAACTCGGAAGATTTTACCCTCTTATCATCAAATCCCAGTGTAATATTTGAGATAGAGGCATAGCTATCATCTCCTTTGTCTACATTGTCGGTATACAAGAAAAGCAGAAACTTTTTAAAAGAATCAAGAGACTGGACAGACGAAGATGGCATCATGACATCGACAGTATCATTGAAATAAATAATCTGATCCACAATTTGCAAGTTTCCTTCATTTCCCATCACCATATAGTTACCATAACTTAAACTTTGAGCTGACTTAGTAGTGATATTCCCATAGGATGACTTTACCCATCCTGTCAATGTGATCGACCTACTAGCATTTGTGAGGAAAGATCCATCAATGCCTGTAAAATTGGTCACAAGAGAAAAGGAAAGGGGAAGACCGCTGTATTCCAATAACTTCCCTTCTGTCTTTATACTCTTTTCGTCCAACCAAAGATGCAAATTTGCGTCAATATACCACACGTTAAGAGCATCCGTGACACTGAATGAGATCTTATGGGTGTGTCCATCTAAAATCTTTCCTAACAATGGCGTAATTTCAATGTCATACGAAGGAAGATCAAACGAGCCGATTCCACTTATTGGTCTCCACAAGAGGGGATTGACACCCCCAGTATAGATCACGGTGAAAGGCCAAACTGCACCAACTATCATATCATCCACACTAACTACTACTTCCCTAAAAGCTCCATTCCCTGGCGTACCACTAAGATTATTCGCAGTAATGTAATCATTCGGCGGATTACTATACCAAAACTCATCATTCTCATGAAATGAAACATAAACTTCCAGTACAGCCCTATAAGCATTTTGGGGAATTTTTAACTCCTTTGACAGAACATCGGTAGAATTCTCAACCTCAAACCACAAACCATCATTTAAAGGCAGATTTCTTGAAATGGGTAAGATCAAATCAGCCCCAGAATCAAATGGTTTATAAGAGTAAACCAAATTCATCTCATTATCACTATGTTTTTCTTCAGCAGGATAAAAGTGAATAAAAAGTTTCACATTGTAAACACCAGTATAAGTACTATCAACTAAGTTCCCAATATAAACAGCAAGAGTTTGATTTGTCATAAGCAAAGAGTAATACCTTGTAATATCCTTCTTAACAGTCCAAATAATCCCATTAGCCCTTGGCTCAGCAGTACAACTCCTGAAAATCTCAACCCCACTAAGCCAAACACCAAAAATTCTATCAAATTGCCTGCCTTTACATGTTGCTTTCCATTCCAGTACAATCTTGGAAAATTTCTGAGATGGGCAATTAGAAGGGGGTGTGTAGTTAGCAAGAACAGGGGGTTTTCCATATGTGTAACCAAAGTCATGTTGAAGGACTAGATACGAGCAAGGTTTGGTTTTGGGCAGATTTATGGGTTTGGTGACCTCAAAATAGGTTGTTGGGGTGGCATTCTTGGAAGAAGAAGAAGAAGAGTCTAGCTGGGAAATGAGTTGTGATCTAAAGAGAGATGTACTACTGTGGAGAGTTGCGGTGGAAAAGAGGGGTTGTTGGAGTAGAGAGAAAAAAACCAAGAAGAGGAAAGAGAAAGCCATGAAAAGTAGCTCTGTTAGCTCTGCTGGTTAATTACAAGGAAAAGGGTCAAAAATGTACTATTGTTTATTATTTACATACGACATCCGTTAAACTTTTCGTCTATTCTTGTCCCTACCGTTAATGAAGTTTTAAAAATTACCCCTAACCCTAACGTTTTGACACTGTGGTAACTGACCCCTCAATTTTTTCCATGTCAGCTGCCAAGTCATTAATTAATCACACCAAGTTAAAACCCCACAGACTCCATTTCAGTTGAGCTCAACGAATAACAAGAGCCTTCACCACCGACATCATTGCCGTCTCTCCAACCAACGTTACAACCAAACAATCCCAAATCGGATTCAAGTAACTTCATATTCCCAGAAAACAGCAACAATTATTGTTCTCATTTTTTTTTTTCACAAGGACTTTTCCAGATTTTGAAGAACTTGAAGAGTTCTTCAACTGTTTTCACTATTTAGAAATGGACTTTTCAAGTTTTCTTCTCTTAAATCTTGATGAAATAAGTGTTAAACTCCGAATCTAACACAAATAAATGATTTTTAGAAGATTTAAACAATAAATCATTGAACATCTATTAAATATTCAGATCTGTGAACATGAAAACCCGAAATGGGTTTTTGATTTTATTTCAAAATTAATCCAAACCAAGACGGCAGCAAATCCGATTTGGCACATACTGACATAAGCTGCTGCAGTTCACTTTCAGTATTGTTTTGGCACGTTTGTTTACTAAGGACCGTTTTGACCAAAGTTCAAAACTAAACGGGATTAATTTAGTGTTGAATCCTCGTACAACAGCTACAGAGAGGGCCACAATTATCATGAACAAAAAGAAATTTCCGGCCACTTCATTTAGTTCATACTAGCTATTCCACCGTGCCAATCGTCGTCCCCAAACCTCTGCAACTCTCCGATGAGCACCAGGTGGCCGGAAATGGAGTTCTGGCCGTCCAAATCGACCAAAACCAATGCGAAATGATTTCTGTTGATGAGGAGATTGCTCCCAACACCTCAAACGACAACAACAACGAGCCATTCTTCTCGAATCTGAAGAAAACAAATTCTGCAAAGTCGACCATGCTAGGTGCTCGATAAAATGCCAAAGTCAGGGGAAAACACGCACACATACATAGATCTGTACAAAAATAAGAAAAAGGGGTATTAGAAGATATCCTTTTAAGCCATCCATTTGTACAGTGAGAAAAATTCGCGAATTAAACATACGCCAAGTGAGTAACTTATTTGATTTTAATTACACGCCCATAAAGAAAAAATCTGGTGAAATTTAATGATATACAATTGATTAAACCAAATTATATATCTAAATAATTAGTAAAAAAATAATTATTCGAATTTTGTCCGAAATGAAAGAAAAAAGAAACACAAGAAACCAATTACTGAAGAAAATCAAAATGATTAAAATAGGATTAAGCTTGACATGCGTTCCTTGGTTTTAACCTCTCCTCCTTTGGCGTCCCTTCTAAATTCTGATTTCTTAGCTGAAAACAGAGCTTGTAGGAAGGATCTTTCTAGGGGTTAATTAATGACTTGGCAGCTGACATGGATAAAATTGATATGGTCAGCTGTCACAGTGTCAAAACGTTAGGGTTAGGGGTATTTTTTCAAACTTCATTAACGGCAGGGACGAGAATGGCCGAAAAGTGTAACGGATAGCACAAGTAACCAATAAAAAATAGTAGAGGGGCAATTTTGACCCTTTGCCCATTATTCAATTGGATATATAGCTCACTATACACTAATTTATGTAAAGTATGTTTACACTATCCCAACAATTTTACTTATATTGTTGTATACGGTGGAAATCGGGGCTATCCGATTTCGTCCTTTAATGAAAAAAGAGATACCACGTCGAAAGGTCAGGACGTCGAGTTCGGGGTCAAAGTTTCTTTCCAAGATCGAGGTCGACATCACTAACCGAGGTCAGAAGAGGGCATACTTCGAGATGATGCCGGTATAGTTCAGTAACGGAAAGTGCGAGATACCGGCAACGGACCAAAGATCATGGCGTGAATTTTGGAATGGATTGATCCTCGACGGTTAATCAGTTGTTGTCGCGCCCCTTTTTCTGGCGAAAACATGTTTCGACACGTGACAACTCTTTTAAGGAAGGTGTTAAAAGAGAGAGTCGTCATCTAACGGGTTTGAGGTGCGTTAGGACACCTATTTGCAAATAACTCTGGTTTAACTGGTTTACATCACCAAAGATTGGGTAAGGGCTCAAATTACCTCGAAGAGAAGGTGTTAGGCATTCTTCGAGGTCCACAACTGTGGGTCCCGGCCAAACTCGAATTATATGAATTAGTGAGATAAACAAGGATAGAGAAAAGCAAAAAGTTTGGGAAGTTTTATTAAACACAAATAATTGATTTTAAAGATAAGATGGGGGGGGGGGGGTTCCTAAATTTTTTTAGCCTAAAGGATCACCCCGTGCAACATAAATAATACTTCGTAACTCCCTCAAGATGGGGTGTTACTCGTATTATTCAGCGGGCACAGACTACTATCTCCTGCTACCCGATTACTATCTTTAAGTTGTTACCTAAGGCGCACTTAATTGATTCTAAGCCGTACCTTATGCTTGCACTACCCGTCCCATGCCTATGGTCCAGGAGGCGTTTGGACCTCTATTTTGGGTGGTTCTAGACTTAACTTAGGTTGCTCAAAATGAGAAAACTAGGCGACATATAAAACAAGTTGGACTTCATATAAAAGCAGTTAAGGGCTCAAGTTAGCCTCCACACTTAGACAACACACGCACGCAAATAAATATGCAAATTAGGAGCTTTCAGAATTCAGAACCTTAAACCTATAGACATGATTTCTAGATGACTTTGAACCAAAGTACAGGCAGTTCCAAATGCAAGGTGCCATTTCATACTTATAGACAACTAATAGTTTTAGGGGGGCGTATTTGGTATTACAAGCGGATTATTGCAATTGCAGATTATAAGTAATTAAATCTATAGACATGATTGCTAGGTGATTATGGATTCTAGTATTACAGAGGTGATGCTGTAATTTCTGACGTATTAGAATGTTGCAGGTCCAATAAACATGATATCCAGTCGTTTGTATAAATAGGCAGTGAAGTCGTCAATAAATATCCTCTGAGCAGGTTTTCTAACGATTGACAATTGGGCTTGCTTTTAAACGCTTTATCCCTATAAGCATGCTTTCTAGGCGGGTAGTATGATGCAATAGCAAATTTAAGTAATTAAAATCCTATAGGCTTGATGTCTATTGTACAATGCGAGACAATAGCAAATGAAGTGGTCAGATCCTATAGACATGGTTTCTAGTGTACATTGTAGGACAATAGCAAATGAAGTGATTAATCCTATAGGCATGCTTTCTAGTGATCACGCTGAGGAGAATTGAAAGATAGTTCATTGTTTGTTCCTATAGGTAGGTTCTCTAACAATACATATCAGTAAGAAACAATTGCGGCATTCACATTTGCTAACAGGCAGTATACATGTGTATGCTTATCCTAATGACATGATTTCTATAGCGGACATATAGATCGAATGGCACATATAGCAAATGAATCAATATGTCCTATAGGCATATTATCTACCCTTTTCATGCAAACATTAAGAATCTACCCATTCCCCATTTTTACTAACACCCAGTTGTTCATTACAAAGATATTACAGGCCCAATAGTAATGTAATTACATGTATTGTACAAATAATGGCAGTAGGCTCATAGCAGGCCCAAAAGGGAACACCCAGCATTAACTAGGCCTTCAGCAACTCTCATGCAGCATGCCCAGGAATCATATTCATCAGCACAAACCCAGAATCCATAGAAGAACTTAGGCTAGATCACACAACCATAGATTGACCAACCAATTTACATATTCAGTAGACCATAGGCAGAAAGAGTGGAGTGTCAGGGATAGTGCAGATTTTAGTATAGGGGGAATGATCAAGGACCCAAATCCTAGTGTGTCAGAGTTAACAAGGGACTCAAATGGACCCCGAGCAGTGCTCACACTAGGGAGGTCAATCAGAAAGAGCCTTGATAGCCTTGGCTTTCAGCCGGCTAAGAATAAGGAGTTCAGAATAGCATAAGCAACAATGAGGGAGAATGGACAATAGCTGAGGGACAGAAGTGGGGGAACACACTTATAACCTAAAGTAGACATAGCCATAGAGAGCAACTAATCAAACAGGCCGGCAAGTTTAGCAGAATTTCAACACATAGCAAGGTACCACACAGACAGCCATATATTGGAAGAAGTTGGGGAAAGAAACAGGTTTGCATAGGTTATCAGTCATGACACTAAACCAATTGAGGCATAGGAGGTTCAGATTAAGCTAAACATGCATCCTAGGGTCATGCTAATCAGTACTTAGACATGATGGGGGACACATTTCGTGATAAACATCGGAAGAAAGAGGGTATCAAATGAACAAAAGACAGACCGACGAACATATTAGCATAGAAGAAAGATCATAGTCGATAGAAAATAGTCTTAATACAAATTGAAACACATTATACATGCAGGACAAACATTGCAAGGACTCAGAACAGTGTAAGATAGCAAACTTATATCAACTATCACATATGGGTATTCTGAGATTGTCATAATAGACTAAACAACTAGAGAAGATCTAAATCATGTCACAAAATGGTTCAATCAGGCATGGAAAAACGGGTTGAGGTAACTGCTAAGATCTCAATCAGTCACTAATGGGGTATGGGGATCAAGTGAGCATGCTGAGTGACAAAATAGCAAGTGAACATGTCATAATTAACGCAGACATTCTAGCATTCACTATAGAGGTTAAAGACAAAACAAATAAGCATGAATTAGGGAAACATCTAGACCCCTGCACTCATATTACCCAAGTTAAGCTTAGGCAAACAAAGAACTAGTAGCATTAGGAGGAGAGTCAGATGCTAACGGACTTGGAACAAAGTAAAATTAACAAACTCGTGCACAAAAGTAATCCAGAAAACATATTAAGCCAAGAATTTCAAAGGTGAGAACATACGCAAATCAAG